CAGTATAAGTCATTATAATCCATAATTATGTCCCCACTGGATGCAACAAATGCCTCGTTTATAATGGGTTTTCATGTTTTTGAATCATCGCTCCGGCCTGACAGGGAATCATCACAATATGGTGAGGGGCGTAACATTTCCGTCACACGCTTGAGGTATTCGGCCAATCACAACGCACTGGATAGCTGGCCAATCACAGCACACCTTGCTTTTTCAGACCGATGAGCTTTGTAAAAATCGACGCGTTTCAGAAAAGCGGGGCATAGAGGAGAAACAATAATGTACAGTATGTGGAAAATAATGTGTTTTTTGAACCTTAAACCGCATAAACACATTTCATTACACCAAATACACAAAATAATGTTCTTTTTAGCAACATCATATGACCCCTTTAATATATTTTAAATGTACTAAATTGCAACATCATTAAAAATGTGTAATTACAAATATATTTAAATACATGACATACAAGTTTAAACATTAAAGTATATTTTAGTTTACCAATAAATGCTTGTAGGTAGATACACTCAGCATTAACTTTAACCATATTTCAAACAAAGACAATAGAAATAATAATGAAATTACATATAAAGATGTACTTCAGTGTTACTTAATTGGTTAAAAAAAGCACTCTTAATTTCAACTAATTGCATTCAATAATTTAAACTATAATGCATATTAATTTAATTACATTCAGTTTGCACCTATAAATATATCCTATTATTTATGTAAAAAAGTACTCTTTTTAAAAGTATGCTTAAGTGTATGTCATTTTTCACAAGGAAATCTTAAAGAGTAGTAAAGATCCTATGACATAAAAACGTTTGTCTTTTAGTCAATGTATTTTAGCTTTGAGATTTAAAAAAGTTAACTAAATTAGTATTTATCAGAATACACATTTAAATTACAGTCTTTCTTCTGGAAAATGAACAATTAGCAATAGAAAGTAGAAAATAGCATTTGAAGTTTTACAAATTATTTCACATTTTTAAAAATGTGTTCATTGCTTTCATCGATGACAAAAGCTGTCAAGTGAGGTTTTGCTCCAGTGTGATATAAAACTATAGGCTACTGGCTATATAAAAAGGATAAGCCCATTAACTTAAAGGTGCACTAAGCAATATTTGAAAAACAGCTCATATACTTTGTGGGTGTATTTTCTCAAAAGTGGGAGTAATATTTAGGTCAGGTTTGCATTTTAATATTTTGTGTTTGGGATAATTTTAGCAAGATCCATATCTTACTCTAAAATAAATGACAAATGTTGGCTTATAGATTTTTGAAGACTTAAATTGTGGTCACATAGATTTCTGGTTTAATAAAATTCTCAACTAATTTGACATTCCAGTACTGCAGTGCTTAATCTAATTCGCAAAGAACTTGTTTAATGTGATAGGAAAATGTACATATGTCTCTCACCCATTCCTTTGAAACTATCTATCTGGCATTCATTTTGAAATAATTTGTACTGTCTCTTGGGCAATACAGCATCTCAAAAAAAGTCCCCCTTCTGCTTATTGGTAGAGAGTATTTGAGAATTTTCATTTTTACAGTTTGTTCTAAAAATGATTTTTGCAAGCTCTCTATAGTCTATTTTGGGTTTGTGTTATTAATACATTGATAAATCAAATGATATTACAAAAGAATGTGCCGAGTGGCTTGTGATTGTGGATTTTACTCCGTGACAAAAGGGAAAATGTCAGCGTGCATTAAAGAGATGAATCTGAGAAATTAGGCCAACTGTGAAACATCTGAAACACTTTCAAATATGAGCCGAATGTGTTTAAACATAATGAGGATTTTAAAAAAAGATGTTAAACTTGTACATATAAATGTGTGTGCGCGCGTGTGTGTGTGTGTGTGTGTGTGTGTGTGTGTGTGTACACCTACAACCATACAAACATATATATATATATACACACACATTTAAATATATGTAAATATATATAATGCAAAAATAGAATTATATATGTACAAGTGAAATATGAAAATGTATATAATGCAAATATATACTCAAATTAAGAATAAGAATGACATAAGTCTGTCGCACAAAACAAATTCAGCGTATCTCTTGACATGCCATTTAATATACCTACTAAATATAAATTGTTTTATATATACGCACATTTATATATGTACAAGTGAAATATGAAAATGTATTTAATGCAAAAATATATTAGAAATAAGAAAGAATGGTGTAAATCTTTCACATAAAACATAAATTCAACATATCTCTTGCTATGCCTTGATGTGCCATTTGGAATATTTGTCAGGATGTCCAAAACCACAGTGTGTGTGTGTGTGTGTGTGTGTGTGTGTGTGTGTGTGTTATTATGGGGGATGGGGCTGTTGAGATTTTGGGTTTATGTGTACTGGGGGAGGGGAACGCTCTGCATTTGTGTGCTGCATTCTCTCAAGATAATAATGACTGAAATCTCAATGAGCGTGTCAGGAGAACACCTGTCATAGACTCTCTGTTTGTTTATAATCATGAGAACAGTGACTGTATGGATAGAAATTCATGAGACAGCACATATGACACACAGCACACCAATGATGGTCTGGTTGTTCACTGGCAGGCATTGGAAAGGCTTCTGGAAGGGGGATGGGGTGAAGGATTAGCCTCCTAAATCTATTAGAAATTCATTCATACTAAATTCACTTATCAAGACGCTGAAGAAAAAAAGAGGGCTGCTCTCTCTTACATTGGTAGGTGAATTGACCCAGTTGTTCTGTATTCCTCTAAAAAGGTCACTTGACGTCACCCTCTCATGAAGCTACTGTACATCAGCTTGCGGGAAAATGGGACAGTTATTTGTTTTGGTTTCACAGGAATATCTGACTCCTGAAACAAATCGTTCCAGCCCTGGATGCTGAATAGCCAATGCAGCATTTCTGAGCTATTAGATAACATAGTAGGTTAATAACTGTGACGCAAAACACCTGTTAAGCTAGCTTGCACTGCACATATAGGCACTACATTAGTTTAAATGTCAGAAACCATGGCTGTGTTCCAATCACCAATTCCAATTCATAGTGCCTTACAAAGTAGACTTCACAGAAGTTGTAGGAAGCTTGTAGGCTCAGTCCCAAGAGCAGTAAAAGGGTGATCAAGTGTGCACTTTATCTTAACAGAAAGTGAAAATGGTCAATATATCCACTAGTCATTGAACTTCACCTAAACTTCACATAAAAGCTGAAGTCACGTAGGTTAGCTGCCATGTTGAGTTTCCATTTATCCTATTAATTTTTCTGTGAGTACCTTGTCGCCTTGTCTGTATCTACTGTAAATTCAATCTGAAATTTATGAATTGTGATTTGGATTCTATTAGGTTTGTGTTTGGCTGTACAGTTTTTCTCTTTGAGTGTTACTGTGGAAACTGACTTTTACTGCACTATATGCAGGGCTGCTTGAGGAAGCAGGCGCGATGGCCAATGCCTCAACAGACCTGGACAATGCTGAGGCCCAGAGACAGCTCAACAACAACAACAGGCCTTCAAGCACAGGATTCTGGGAAACAGAGACCACCAGTGCCAAACTATTTGAGTGCTCTCGCATCAAAAAACTAGCAGGTGAGTAGAAGATCTGCTGGATCTGTGCATGTGCAATATTTTGAGCGTATACACTGTATAATGTTCAGAAGTTTAGGGTCAGCGGTTTTTTTTCTTAAAGAAATTAATATTTTTATTCAGCAACAATGCCCTAAATTGTTCAAAAAAAGTGTCAGTTAAGACATTTATAATGTTACGAAAGATTTCTATTTCAAATGCTGTTCTTTTAAAATTTCTATTAATCAAAAAATCCTGAAAGAATGTATCTTGGTTTCCACAATAATATTAAGCAGCTAAAACTGCTTTCAACATTGACAACAAAATGGGACAGTTATTTGTTTTGGTTTCACAGGAATATCTGACTCCTGAAACAAATCGTTCCAGCCCTGGATGCTGAATAGCCAATGCAGCATTTCTGAGCTATTAGATAACATAGTAGGTTAATAACTGTGACGCAAAACACCTGTTAAGCTAGCTTGCACTGCACATATAGGCACTACATTAGTTTAAATGTCAGAAACCATGGCTGTGTTCCAATCACCAATTCCAATTCATAGTGCCTTACAAAGTAGACTTCACAGAAGTTGTAGGAAGCTTGTAGGCTCAGTCCCAAGAGCAGTAAAAGGGTGATCAAGTGTGCACTTTATCTTAACAGAAAGTGAAAATGGTAAATATATCCACTAGTCATTGAACTTCACCTAAACTTCACATAAAAGCTGAAGTCACGTAGGTTAGCTGCCATGTTGAGTTTCCATTTATCCTATTCATTTTTCTGTGAGTACCTTGTCGCCTTGTCTGTATCTACTGTAAATTCAATCTGAAATGTATGAATTGTGATTTGGATTCTATTAGGTTTGTGTTTGGCTGTACAGTTTTTCTCTTTGAGTGTTACTGTGGAAACTGACTTTTACTGCACTATATGCAGGGCTGCTTGAGGAAGCAGGCGCGATGGCCAATGCCTCAACAGACCTGGACAATGCTGAGGCCCAGAGACAGCTCAACAACAACAACAGGCCTTCAAGCACAGGATTCTGGGAAACAGAGACCACCAGTGCCAAACTATTTGAGTGCTCTCGCATCAAAAAACTAGCAGGTGAGTAGAAGATCTGCTGGATCTGTGCATGTGCAATATTTTGAGCGTATACACTGTATAATGTTCAGAAGTTTAGGGTCAGCGGTTTTTTTTCTTAAAGAAATTAATATTTTTATTCAGCAACAATGCCCTAAATTGTTCAAAAAAAGTGTCAGTTAAGACATTTATAATGTTACGAAAGATTTCTATTTCAAATGCTGTTCTTTTAAAATTTCTATTAATCAAAAAATCCTGAAAGAATGTATCTTGGTTTCCACAATAATATTAAGCAGCTAAAACTGCTTTCAACATTGACAACAATAAGAAGGATCATGTGACACTGAAGACTGGTTTTTATTAATGCTGAAAATTCAGCTTTGCATCACAGGAATAAATTACATTTTAAAATATATTAAAATGGAAAACACTTATTTTAAATTAATTAAATTAAATATTTCGAAATATTACTGTTTTTGCTGTGTATTTCATCAAATAAATGCAGCCTTTGTGAGCATAAGAGACTTTCAAAAATATTAGTGAAACTGACGCCAAACTTGAATGGTAGTGTATATATTAGGGATATGATATTTTTCAACTCCCATATTCTTGTTATGTATGATAAATAATATATGGCTGAAATAAAAATTCTATAACAGTCAAAAATCAAAAACTAAAAACAAATATTTTTGATTTAGACAAATCAACATTATAATGTACAGTATGCGAAATAAATATTAATTCTGAGATTTGCTAAAGATTACATTTAACAGCATTATTCGTTTTTTTTTTTAGATTAACATTAAACAATACCACGGCAAAGTTAATCTAAATGTAACTGACTGAAAACTCATCATCTGATAACCGATATGGTACCGATATCATGCATCCTTAAAGGGTTAGTTCACCCAAAAATGAAAATTATCCCATAAATTACTCACCCTCAAGTCATCCTAAGTGTATATGACTTTCTTCTTTCAGACGAATCCAGTCGGGAGTTATATTAAAACTTGTCTTTGATCTTTCAAGCTGTTTAATGGCACTCAGCAGGTGTTGCAGTGCATCAGTTCAAAAGAAGTTAAATATAAAGTGCCCATCCATAAATAAAAGTGCCTCACACGGCTCCGGGGGGTGAACAAAGGCCTCCTGTAGCAAATCGATGTGTTTTTGTAAGAAAAATATCCATATTCAAAACGTAATAATCGCTTTAATGTAGCTTGCGCTCAGTGTTGTACACGGAAGCAGCTCCGACTAACCCTTTAATATAAATAAATACATTTTGTTTGTCTTTTTGTAATCATATCAGATGAAAGGGACGCAGTCCAGAAGAAAACCTTTACTAAGTGGGTGAACTCTCATTTGGCCCGTGTGTCCTGCCGTATCTCTGACCTGTATAATGACCTGAGAGACGGATACATGCTCATCAGGCTGCTGGAGGTGTTGTCAGGAGAGCTGCTGGTGAGTTCTCAGCTGAACAAACTTTTTTACAATTTTCACTTTTCTCCACTTTTTTAATTTGACATATTTTGTGTAATTAATTAGTTTTAGCCATGCACCTAAATGCTTTTTTGACCAAAACACTAAAACTGATATTAATTAGCCGATAACCTAAAATAAAGTTTTGGTGATTCAATTTGTGTAATTAAACGTGTTCGGCTGTTCAGGGTGTCGTGTTCTAAGACGATAAATTAAACCAGATGTATTACATTTTGACAATAAGCCGCCTCTCCATATTTCAGCCAAACAAATGTACAGATTGCTATTGTATTGCTGCTGATGTTTACCTGTTAGCTTATAGATGCTGACACAGTCCAAAAGTGTCATTAGAGAGCCACTAGTTAAACAGCACAGTTTGATTTCGGCCTTCCAAAACTATTTCAGCTAAAACCATTTTTTTTTTTGGTGAAATAATTTTGGGTGCCAAAATTTTGGTGCATCACTAATTATTAGTATTTCTTGCTAGTATCACTAATACTTTTGCTGTACTATTTGGATTGAGCCCCACTCAAATGAATAGCTTAGATGATTTGACTCAATGAGGAGAGGTTTTCTCTTACTTTTCTGTAGGAATGGACCTAATATTTTTGCTTGCTGGTGATTGACCAGTAAACAACCATCCAGAAACCTAGCAACACATAGCAGCATCCTAAAAAACACTCAGGATTGTGTGTGTAGTAGTATAGTGTTTTTTTTTAATAACTTGCTCTAAGATTTGATTCAGCCCAGTGTTATTTTAATATTATTTATATATTATCATAGTTTTTAATATTTTGAATAGGCTTTTATTTTTATATTTTTAGTTTCATTTTCATTTAATTTTTATGTGCTTTTGTTATTTCTGTTAGCTTTTAAAATACAATTTAGATGTAATTTATTTTTATTTCCATTTTAGTTTTAGTTTTTATTTATTTTTAGTTAGTAAGTTTAGTGCTTCAATTTAAACTTATTTCAGTTAGCTTTCATGGCAAAAAGTCTGGTATCTAATATTCATATTTTTATTTCAGCTTTTTTCAAATAACAAAAATGTTTATTTATAATAGTTTTAGTTTTAATTCATGACAATCACCCTGACTCAGCCTACATACTATGCTTTATTAATTGTCTTTCAAAGGTTGAATACAGGAAGTTTCAAGCATGTGTTTCTGACACATTCTTGTTTTAATATGTTTTTGTTTTAAGCCTCGGCCCACGAGAGGCAGGATGAGGATTCACTGTTTGGAGAATGTGGATAAGGCTCTTCAGTTCCTCAAAGAACAGAGGGTTCATCTAGAAAATGTTGGTTCTCATGATATAGTTGATGGAAACCACCGCCTCACTCTCGGCCTCATCTGGACCATCATCCTCCGCTTCCAGGTAAGAGCTGCTTGGATTTCTTGAGACTGCTTTGGGATTTTTTGAAGGCCTCATCTGACTTTAAGAGAAAGCTCTGTGTACTGGTCTCTGGGCCGTCTTATCCAGTATGCAATCATTGACTAGCGCTGGATTTATTTGATCTGATACGGTCTGATCTGTGGGGGTGTTTGATCCCTGTCTGCCCTTTATGGTCCCTGCTGTGTGTGATCACTGTCTGTGTGGTGCCCGTGTGTCTTTATGACCGATTGTCAATACCTACATTACGTACTGTAGGTATGCAGTACTGATAGCTGTGGAGTTGACAAAATACAGTTGAGTCAAAGGCCCTGTCCTAAATGGCTCACTTTATTTGCATTAACAATGCTCGCAGTATGCATGTGACTGTGAAGGCCACAAGACCATAGTGTGACCAATTTCTCCTTTTTAATTTCTGTGGGTTGCTCACAAGTGCCTGAATGACTCCTTTTTTTGGTGTTTGCAGCCCTTTGTCCCTGTATGCTGTCATTTTATGAAGAAAAACAGCTTGGGAAGAGTGCTAAAGTTCTTTTTTGACCCAGAGCTCGCTCCAGTGTCGGCTCCAGCCCCCGAATCCAGCCCAAAGAGGGCTCCTGTTCCCAAGTTTAGCCCAGAGAAGGCTCCAGTCCCAGAGTTTAGCCCAGAGAAAGCTCCAGTCCCCGAGTTTAGCCCACGGAGGGCTCCTGTCCCTGAGTCTAGCCCAGAGAAGGCTCCTGTCCCTGAGTCTAGCCCAGAGAAGGCTCCAGTCCCCGAGTGTAGCACAGAAAGGGCTCCAGTTCCCATGTCGAGCCCAGGGAGGGCACCAGTCCCCAAGTCAAGCCCAGGGAGGGCCACTGTTCCCGAGTTAAAGGGTACCACTCTGGAGGCCTGCTGTCCCGTGTCTGTCCTGAGGGGCCTCCAGAGTACCCACCCCCCCTACCCGTTGGATGTTGTGAGGTGCGAGGATGCGCCTTCCGGGAGGGGGGTGTAATGTCAGACCCTGTTCCGTGTTTTGTGTGTGTTTTGCTCCCCAAGTGCCTTCCTTGCCCTTATTTGGTCCTTCCCGTTCCATTATGATCATTTGTTCCAGGTGTTTCCCATTCAGTTAATTTGTTCCCAGGTGTGTCCCATTAGTTCCCCTGTACTTAAGCCCTGTGTTTCCTTGTCTCCAGTGTCAGGTATTGAATGTCTGTGAATGTGTCAACCTTTCCTGCTACGGGTGTTTTTTCTGGTTCCCTTAAAGACATAAAAATCTTTTTCAAAAGAGGTTGCAGGTCTAAAAATATAAATATGGCTATTAAGGAGACCGTATAGGCAGAGAAAGTTAAATGTACAGTAGGTCATTTTTTATTTGTTTATCCTATCTAACCTAAATTTTTTAATTAAAATAAGAAGGTTATGAGTGGGATGGTGATGAGTGCTTTTTAAAAGTATGTGAAACTGTACTCAATTTTCACAAGGGAACCCAGGTTCGCCGTGATTTTGCCAAGTAAGACATGTTCAACATGGATCAACATTACTGTCCAAAAATATAGACTAAACCCAATCCCTACCCCTAAACCTAATCCTACCCATAATTTGTTCCTAAAATCAGTGTGAAATGATAGCTGATTAACAAGGGTGTAGAAGCACCTAACCCTGATTGTAAGCCTAAAACAGACATTTCCTGAAAAGTTATCCCTCAATTCTGATTGGTTAATTGGAATGTTGTTCCAGGATCAACAAGGATGTTGATCCAGGAACATGTTGTACTTAGTGAAATCACGGTCACCGGGAAACCAGGCTTGTATTTTCTCACTTCCATCATCTCTCTGAATATTTTAAAGCGCTCTGTGTCCATGTAACTACAAAGTGCAGAGCAGCTCCTGGTTTGTATTGCCTGTCATCTCTTGGCTCTATCAGTAAAGCAGTGGCTGGTTACCCAGAATGCCATCTGACTGCAGCCCAGTAAGCTGATGCTGTGGTGATTCTGGACGCTGGGACTGAGAGAGGTGGCGTGTCACTCGATCCACCGAGCGTGCCGTAGAGATGGCGGGGGGGGGATATCATTCACGCTCACCTCTCGTCCTCTCGTGATTCTTCCTCTTCCCCTCTCGCTCTCATTTATTCTCCCTCCTCCATATTCCTCTTTATATCCTGTCTCCATATATGCCGGAATATCTCTCCGCTCCCCTATTTATCTTCTTCCTACCCTCCCCATCTCTGTTGGAGTTCACTCTGCCCAGTCAGCAGGTAAGGCCGAACACTGCAGCAGCCGAACAGAGAGAGAGAGAGAGAGAGAGAGGGAGGAATTAGGAAGAGGGCAGATGGGAAAGCTGTAAGGCAAAAGAAACATGCAAACTTCAGTATCTTGTGGACCAGAAACGTTACAGATGTAGCACTATATATCACAACTTAGGCTACACTAGTTTGATGAAGGTTTTATATTTGCTTTCTCTTGTTATGTATTATTCATTATAAATCTGTTTATATGTCCTATCTTTCTTTTGTAGAACTTTGCTACTCTTGTTTTAAGCATAAGCCTTTGTAAATTTTGTTAGATTTATACTTAAAGCAAAAAAAACAGTGTCGCCCAACTGAATAAGAAAAATATTACATAACTCAAGATATATTCTGTGAGGGAAAGACTTCTTCTCTAACCTAATGTTGCTTCTCAAGCAAATTTATCTTGTTTTAAGGATGTTTTGCTGGAAAAACAAGCCTAAATTACAGGTTTTTGCAGTGCTGTTCTTTGAGGTTGTAGACATCGATCATATATTAACTGCATGATGCAAGAAATTCAATATGACGAATGATCTTGGGTCGCTGTAGTTTTGTAATGTGCTGGGGATGTTTGTGTGTGTGTGTGTGTGTGTGTGTGTTTGATTCACACTATAATGCCTGATATTGTGAGAGTGTGTCCTTGTGCCACGCATTAGTATGTATCACGTCAAAATGACAAAACTGGTGCAATTGCTGTCATATGTATTGATGAGACGACACTAAGCACAATATGATATTTGTGGCCTGATGACGGAACAGGCCAGTAAACCACAGATACTAGGTTAATGCAATCACATTAAATATGATACGATAATTCTATACAATGAATGAAAACCTTTAATGTCATTGTCATTGTATCTCATAAACTTTAATTGAAGGAGAGACCTGAATATCATTGAAATCAAAGGATTCGGGCCAGTAAGCAACCACCTGGTAACTACCCAGAAACGCCTAGCATCTTCCTAGCAAGGTCCTATCAACCACTCAAACACCTAAGCACGATGGAGGCAACTTTTGCATTGACGAGCACCATTTCTTTAGAAAATATAAAAATCTAATTTAAAGAAATAATTCACCAAAAATGAAAATTCTGCCTTCATTTACTCTTCCTCAAGTTGTTCCAAACCTGTAAGAGTTTCTTTCTTCTGTTGAGCACAAAAGAAGAAGAATGTTGGTAACTAGACAGTTGACGGCAGCCATTGACTTCCATAGTAGGGAAAAAAATGTTATGGAAGACAATGGCTACCATCAATTTTTTGGTTACCAGTCTTCATTTTTGGGTGAACTATCCCTTTAACCCTTATGAGCTTTTCAGACATTTTTGATTGATTTCATTTTGTTTTTTTGTCAATCTGAGTGGTTCAGACCTTGGTAACTTTTTTAGATATGCAATCTGGGGGGGAGATAGGAATGAATGGGAAAAACCTAATTCTTTTAACAATTTGTTCTAACACAGAGCAGTTTGTCTTTTTTTTAATTGTGTTGAATAAAATGTATATATCAGCCGCAATGTTGAATGAAGGCACACAATAATAAAGCAGTGAGACTATAAAACATCCAGAGTGCAAAAGGTTCACTCGTAATACACAAAACACACACTCACAATTAAATGAATTGCAAAATGAAATTTAAAGGGTTAGTTCACCCAAAGATGAAATTCTGTCATTAATTGCTCACCCTCATGTCGTTTCAAATCCGTAAGACCTTCGTTCATCTTCGGAACACAAATTAAGATATTTTTGAGGGAATCTGAGAGCTGTCTGACCCGGCATAGACAGCAACACAACTGAAATGTTCCCAAGTCCAGAGACGTAGCAAGGACATCGGTAAAATAATCCATGTGACATCAGTGGTTCAACCGTAATTTTACGAAGCTGCAAAAATATTTTTTGTGCGCAAAAAAAAAAAAAAAAAAACTCTATTCAACAATTCGTCTCCTCCGCGTCACCCTAGTGCCATTTTGGAGAGTGTCCACTGAAATTTCTTCTGTTGAGCACAAAAGAAGAAGAATGTTGGTAACTAGACAGTTGACGGCAGCCATTGACTTCCATAGTAGGGAAAAAAAATGTTATGGAAGACAATGGCTACCATCAATTTTTTGGTTACCAGTCTTCATTTTTGGGTGAACTATCCCTTTAACCCTTATGAGCTTTTCAGACATTTTTGATTGATTTCATTTTGTTTTTTTGTCAATCTGAGTGGTTCAGACCTTGGTAACTTTTTTAGATATGCAATCTGGGGGGGAGATAGGAATGAATGGGAAAAACCTAATTCTTTTAACAATTTGTTCTAACACAGAGCAGTTTGTCTTTTTTTTAATTGTGTTGAATAAAATGTATATATCAGCCGCAATGTTGAATGAAGGCACACAATAATAAAGCAGTGAGACTATAAAACATCCAGAGTGCAAAAGGTTCACTCGTAATACACAAAACACACACTCACAATTAAATGAATTGCAAAATGAAATTTAAAGGGTTAGTTCACCCAAAGATGAAATTCTGTCATTAATTGCTCACCCTCATGTCGTTTCAAATCCGTAAGACCTTCGTTCATCTTCGGAACACAAATTAAGATATTTTTGAGGGAATCTGAGAGCTGTCTGACCCGGCATAGACAGCAACACAACTGAAATGTTCCCAAGTCCAGAGACGTAGCAAGGACATCGGTAGAACTATCCCTTTAATTAAGATTTGAATAAGATCTAAATTACCCAAAATTTCAACAACAACAAAAAAGTATATGATTTTGTTGTTACTGCTTCAGGGAATTGTTATGCCATTTCATTGGAGAAAAAAAAATGTTTTCCCTTCAAAATTAACAACCAAGATGTAGCCCTTTTTTGATGATTGGGATACTGCATGGTCCTCCTGGTATACTATCATTTGTTTCATTGCAATATGAATATGAAGTTTTTTTGGCTTAATGATCCCAGTAGGGAAAGCAAAGCCAGTGACTGGTCCCTTAAAGAGCACACAACCATGTAATGTCTGTCAATTTCAGATTGCAGTAACCTTTTTATTGGTGTTTCTCATTCCTAACAGATCCAGGTGATTAAGATTGAGACGGAAGACAACAGAGAGACACGCTCCGCTAAAGATGCCCTACTTCTGTGGTGTCAGATGAAAACAGCAGGGTAACATCTATATATCTATCCCACAACTACCCATAACCAACCCATGGACAGTCATACTATATACTGTATATGCTGCTGGTAAAAATAATCATTTGGAATAATTAAGGTATTTTAAAGTTTTTAAAAGAAGTATTTTATGCTCACTGAGCCAGCATTTATTTGATCAAAAAAATACAGTAAAACAGTATTATTGTGAAATATTATTACCATTTAAAATAACTGTTTTCTATTTGAATATATTTTAAAATGTAATTTATTCCTGTGATCAAAGCTGAATTTTCAGCATCATTACTCCAGTCGTCAGTGTCACATGATTCTTTAGAAATAATTTTAATATGCTGATTTGCTGCTTAATTATTAATATGTTTTTCTTATTATCAGTGATAAATACCATTTTTGCTGTTTAATATTTTTATGGAAATTGTGGTACTTTAAAAGTTTAAAAGAACTGAGGCATAAATCTTTTGTAACATTATAAATGTCTTTACTACTGTCACTTTACTACATGTGAGACTGAAGTCTGAAGTAATGATGTTGAAAATTCAGCTTTGTCATCATAGGAATACATTCATATAGAAAACTTTTTAATTTTTTTCAATTTTAGTAAGATTTGACAATATTACTGTATATTTGATCATATAAAACCAGCAAAGGTGAGCATGAGACTTCTTTCAAAAACATTTTAAGAATGATAATTATTCCAAAATTTTGATAGTGTTTGGTAGTGTATGTTATTATTTGGGCCTTCAGAGAAATAGACATGATTTTGCTGTACGTGAGAAATCTTTGATGATGCTGTGATGTGTTTCCTGTGTTTTGCCCCAGGTACCCAGAGGTCAACATTCACAACTTCACCACCTGCTGGAGGGACGGCCTGGCTTTCAACGCTCTTATTCACAGGCACAGGTCAGCAGTCAGACAGATACACATCATACTGACTTGGCTTTCTTTTATACCATTCACATCATTGATAGAGGCTGTTGGGAAGTCGTGGCCTAATGGTTAAAGAGTCGGACTCGTAACCCAAAGGTTGCGGGTTCGAGTCTTGTACCGGTAGGGATTGTAGGTGGGGGGAATGAATGTGCAGTGCACTCTCCCACCTTCAATACCACGACTGAGGTGCCCTTGAGCAAGGCACCGAACCCCCAACTGCTCCCCGGGCGCCGCAGCAAAAAATGGCTGCCCACTGCTCCGGGTGTGTGTTCACGGTGTGTGTGTGTGTGTTCACTGCTGTGTGTGTGCACTTTGGATGGGTAAATGCAGAGCACTAAATTACAGTATGGCTCACATGTCACGTCACGTTATGTGAGCTGATTTCTGCTTGCGTGTTTCACAGGCCTGATTTAATTGAATTCCACAAGTTGACCAGATCCAATGCAACACACAACCTCCAGCAAGCCTTTAACATAGCTGAACAGAGTCTCGGACTCACCAAACTACTAGACCCTGAGGGTAACGAACAGCATTTTACTCTCACTAAATACAGCTAATACAGTGTGAACCTTTAAATGGCCTTGTTCAGACAGAGATTTGCTAAATTGCTGAATGATCACTCAAAACTATAACCATTTTTTCCCACCCAGATGTAAACACAGAGAATCCAGATGAGAAGTCCATCATCACTTATGTAGTATCCTACTATCATTATTTCTCCAAAATGAAGGCACTTATTGTAGAAGGGAAGAGAATTGGAAAGGTAGGAGGTGTTTTTGTGCATGTTTGATAAAGCTAAATACATTATCGTCTCATGTGAATTCGCTCGAGTGTGTTATCAGATGCACATTTTTCCTCTCTTTTTCCTCTTTCTAGGTGCTGGACAATGCTATAGAAGCTGAGAAGATCATTCGCCGTTACGAGGCTTTAGCATCCGACCTGTTAGAGTGGATTGAGAGAACCATTAGCATCATTAGCAACCAGAAGTTTGCAAACTCGCTGTCGGGTGTTCAGCAACAGCTTCAAGCCTTTACCACCTACTGCACCATTGAGAAGCCTATCAAGTAAGAGAGAATAAATGAAACCGAGGTCTGATGACTGCCAGAGAAGTACTCGTCTCAAACTATGACTGTGAATCATCTGTTTCTTTCAGCTCTTTCTTACTCTACCATTTAAGGAGACTAGTCACTGTATTGTTGGTCAAAGGTGTTCCTACCCGTGTGAAAAAGAAGTGCGCTTATATCGAATGTGCACTTGCAGTGTACTTCAAATCTTAAAAGTGTATTAAAAAAAACTGTACTTGCAGTGCAGATTATATAATATTAATGGAATAAAGGGCCACTTAAGTGTACTTTCATGACTTTTCTTAACACACACAGGGATAGTTCACCCAAAAATTTAAATCCAAACCTGTATGAGTTTCTGACTTCTGTTGAATACAAAAGAAGGTATTATGAAGAATGTTGTAACCAAACAGTTGCTGGTAGCCATTGACTTCCATAGTATGGAAAAATTACTATGGAAGTCAATGGCTACCAACAACTTTTTGTTTATACACATTCTTTAAAATATCTTCTTTTGTGTTCAACAGAAGACAGTACAATACAGGTTTGAAACAACACGAAGGTGAGTAAATGATGACAGAATTTTCTTTTTTTTGGGTGAACAACAGAAATTACATTGAATTATATTTTATTTCACCAAAATTGCTTGTCGGTACATTCTGCAGTGCACATTAAACATTTCAAAGACAGTAGAAGTGTTTATGACATTATATATAAAGTTGTACTGAAGTCCTACTTAAGTGGGTTAAAAAAGCACTCTTAAGTTCAGCTAATTGCATTTAACATAATTTTCATTTAATTATAAATACCATGCAATTAAGTGTCCGAGAACATTACATTCAGTCCATACTTAAGTATATTATTTAAAGCACTCTTTTTAAAAGCATACTAGCTGGAAAGTGTTTTTTTCCCCGCTGATTATTGGCAGATTGTTCAGCTAACCATAGCTATTCAATATCTGACCACAAGTAAGCTGTATTATTGTAATTTTTCTCACCACTTAACATTGTGTAATGAACAAACAATATCATCAACTCTTGTTGAAAATTAATGATTTTTGGTCACTTTGTCGCATACTGTCAATGTAAACTCCCTTTTAGAATCGGTTGATATGCTCAACTGATGTGCTCATGTTTATTGGACACTTTTACTCTGTTTTTAAAGCTTTAAGTTAATTGCATTAGTCCATTTGGAATAAAGACTTGTTCATGCCGTTGCATTCATCAAATATCACAATCAGGGAATGTGCTGACACTTGAGAGAGCTGTTACTTTCACTGCGAGGAATGCAGCTTGTTTAACACTCAGTGACCGAAGTTACCGTACAGTGACACTGACATACAGTTTAATATGTGATCTGAAATAGTATCTGTGCTGTTTTTAATGGAAAGATGTACAGCACAGACAGCACATACAGTGGGTACGGAAAGTATTCAGACCCCCTTAAATTTTTCACTCTTTGTTATATTGCAGCCATTTGCTAAATTCATTTAAGTTAATTTTTTTTCCTCATTAATGTACACACAGCACCCCATATTGACAGAAAAACACAGAATTGTTGACATTTTTGCAGATTTATTAAAAAAGAAAAACTGAAATATCACATGGTCCTAAGTATTCAGACCCTTTGCTGTGACACTCATATATTTAACTCAGGTGCTGTCCATTTCTTCTGATCATCCTTGAGATGGTTCCACACCTTCATTTGAGTCCAGCTGTGTTTGACTATACTGATTGGACTTGATTAGGAAACCCACACCCCTGTCTTTCCGTACCCACTGTATGTAGTGCAGTTTGTGTGGTTATTTATGGTGTGGATTTTTTTTGTTCAGATTCCAGGAGAAAGGGAACCTGGAGGTGCTGCTTTTCACCATCCAAAGTAAGCTCAGAGCTAACAATCAGAAGCCATATATGCCTCATGATGGGAAACTTATCTCAGACATCAATAAGGTATGTACTGTTTAGTTAATATGGTTCTTAGCTGGTTACAGTGTCAAATTAGTATTTTTGTATAACCAAAACAGGGCTGATTCCCTTTCAGAAAAAAAAAATTTATTTTAAATTTTAAAATATAGAAATATAAATTTAATATCATGTCATTTGAATTAAATATTAACTAAAGACCTAAAGAAGAAATATACACCGCTTGTCAAAAGTTTTGGAATAATTAAGATTTTTTTTATGTAATGTAAAACCCCTGATTTTGATTTTAAAAATACAGTAAAAAACGTAATACCGTGAAATATTTTACAATTTAAAATAACTGTTTTCTAATAGAATATGTCTTAAAATGTAATTTATTCCTGTGATCAAAGCTGTATTTTCAGCATCATTACTCCAGTCTTCAGTGCCTTCAGAAATCATTCTAATATGCTGATGTGCAGCTCAGTTGTGCTCAGTTATTAATAATAGTACTTATTATTTTTACTGTGGAAAACTGTTTTTGCTGCTTAATATTTTTGTGGAAACCATGTTTTTTTTTCCCTTCAGGACTCTTTGGTAAATTGAAAGTTCAAAAGAACAACATTTGAAATGGAATTTTTTGCATCATTATAAATGTCCTGACTGTTACTTTTTATCCTTTTAATGCATCCTTGCTGAATAAAAGTATTATTATTTTTGATCATACTTCCTCCAAATTTTGAAATGGTAGTGTATCACAATTTCAACAAAATTTATGAAGCAGCACAACTGTTTTCAAATAATCAGAAATGGTTCTTGAGCAGCGAATCAGCATATTAGAATAATTTCTGAAGGATCATGTGGCACTGAAGACTGGAGTAATGATGCTGAAAATACAGCTTTGATCACAGGAATAAATTACACTTTAAAACATATTCAAATACAAAACAGCTATTTTAAATTGAAATAATATTTCACAATTTTAGTGTTTTACTGTGTGTTTAATTAAATAAATGCAGCCTTGGTGATTATAAAAGACATTTCAAAAATTTTAACATTTTTTAATTATGTCAAACTTTTAGTGATTCCGATCATTTTTTTAATAATTACAGATAGTGTATCATTTTTGTATATATTATTTATTATAGGAAGTTTTATTTACCTACTATTTACCCTTTTGAGCTAAGCTATTCACACTTTAGTATATTTATATATTATTGAATGACTTAATCAAAATTATTGTATGATTATTGGCATTGTCTCACAGAATAATCCTGATATTTTGTTTTTCTCATGAAAGGCGTGGGAGAGACTAGAGAAGGCGGAGCACGAGAGGGGCGTGGCTCTTAGAAAAGAGCTGATTCGTCAGGAAAAGCTAGAACTTCTAGCTCAACGATTCGATCATAAGACCACCATGAGGCAGGCTTGGCTGAATGAAAACCAGCGTCTCGTCTCACAGGTGTGCAGAAAAGAAAAAATAAAACTTGGTGAACTGGGTAAAATAAAACAGGTGAAATTCTGATTTAAACGGGTACTGTGTTTTTCTCAGGATAACTTCGGCTATGACCTGCCAGCTGTTGAAGCTGCCATGAAGAAACACGAGGCGATCGAAGCAGACATCATGTCATACGAGGAGCGCATCAGTGTCGTGGTGGAGCTGGCGACCGAGATGGAGTCAGAAGGGTACTATGACATCCGACGTATCTTGGCGCGCAAAGAAAACATCTTCGGCCAGTGGAGCCTTCTGAAGGAGCTGGTGGTGGGGCGTAAAGCCCGTCTGGAGAAGAACCTGGCCTTGCAGAAGACCTTCCAAGAGATGGTCTACATGATCGACTGGATGGAGGAGATGCAGGTGGGTTGACTGTTCCAATTTGATTTGGTTTTTGATTAAAACCAGCCACTAAAACATTATATGGTGTTTTAAGACTATTTTCATGCCACTATTTTCATGCAGTAATCAAGTTGACACAATCAAAATGCCATATTCTCACTCCAGGTTAAGCTGCTGTCTAAAGACTATGGCAAACATCTTCTTGAAGTGGAGGACATGCTCCAGAAACAGAGTTTACAGGAGGCTGACATCTCTATACAGGCAGACAGAGTTCAAATCCTCAACACTGCAGCTCTCAAATTCACCACTATTGAAGGTGAGTGCGCCTCAAAACAGTAACATGATGAATATTGATTCAGAGACACTGTATGGGGTCAGGATGTGATGGCAGATTGTGATATAAAGGTTACTGTAACTGGATGCATTTCTATCACTGAGATGTCCAGAGACCTCTGCAGGGTAGAGTATGTAAAATTATATGACATGAGGAACTTGCAAAATGCGCCACAAGAGGGCTGGAGTTGGTTTGCTCTGTATTCAGTGCATACTGTGATTCAGAGCTCAACAATGAGGATTTTTCTGCTTTTGCCATGTTTTTTTTTATTTGCTACAAATTATATTAACGTTTTCAACTAAATGTTAAGTTTATTTTTTTTAAAGATCTTCTGTTTTTACAAAAAGATGCTGAAAGCTTCATAGTCTTGTGGAAATGGTGATATCATTTTTTTTTGTATTCTTTGATCAAAAGAAAGTTCAAAAGAACAGCATCTTTTTAAAATAGAAATAGTTTTTAACATTATAAAAGTCTTTAAAATTGTTAATCTCTTTAAAAAAAAATTAAAATCTTACTGACACAGTGTGTGTGTGTGTGTGTGTGTATGTATATACAGTATATATATAAGAAAATTTGCAACAAGTTGAAAATAGCTATGCAGCTATATCTCCATAAATTCATAAATACTCTCAACGAATGATATACTGATTAATTTGTAGTTTTCAACACTTACTTGGTGTTTACAAGGCTTACTGACATTTTTAACTTATATTTATATATATATATATATATATATATATATAATAAACAATAATATAATAATTATATATATATATATATATACATGTGTGTGTGTACTAAAAATATTAAATATATATATAGTTCAGTCATGAAACTCTAGATTGCGCATTCTGATGGGGTGTTAATGTAAATGATGATTTTCAGAGAGTTAAACGACTTGGCACAAGCTGATTGGTTCATGCTGCATATGCAGCCAATGAGCTTACTGCCTTGCATTTATATGGCTGGCTAGCATTCACTTGAGATTCCTGCAGCGTGCTTTCAGAGTTACTCTGAAACCCTCCACCTCCCCAGCTCCACCTGTATAGATCTGCTACGGGGTTTTTTACATGCTATTTGTGCAGCAGCAGCATGTCTTAAATACTCACGGCACCGTATCGCCGTATGCATTGGCAGTAGCAAGTCCCTGTACTTGCTTGCAGCAGCAGCAGCAATAATCTACAACTACAGCAATAACCAACAGCAGCAGCAATTCAGCAGCAGCGTAGCAGATATATTCCGCCAAGACCAAATACATTAACATTGTCATATCCATCACCATGCTAAAATGTTCAGAGAGTTGTCATGATTGAAAGTTATATATATATAAACTAAAATAAATTTTGCAGCAAGCAAGAAATTATACAGCTATAGTGTATCTCCATAAATTCATAAATACTCAACGAATGATGCAGAACATGCTGATTAATTTGCTGTTTTCAACACTTTCTAAGTGTTTACAAGACTATCACATGTCATTTAGCTAATCTGACAAAACTCTATCTATATTAGCCAACTAAATAACAAATTGGTGAAATCAGTGAAGCTCCTTCCCTTGTCTCTGTTTCTCACTCAGGTTACCAGCCGTGTGACCCTCAGGTCATTTGTAACCGGGTCAACCACGTCAACACCTGCCTAGAAGAATTAAAGCAGCTGGCTGCAAAACGGCACTCGGAGCTGGAGGATTCACGCGAGCTTTGGGCCTTCTTTCAGGAAGTAGAGGAATCAGAGAATTGGATCCGAGAGAAGACGTCCATCTTGGCCACGCAGAGCTGCGGAAAAGACCTGAGCAGCGTCCTGCGACTGCTGCAGAAGCACAAAACTTTGGCTGGAGAGCTGTTGGCGCGACGTGCGTTACTTCAGCAGACCATGAAGAAGGGCAAGCAGATCCTCACCCAGAAGAGCTTCGGTACGGCAGGAATACAAGAACGACTGATGGAGGTCAAGGCGGAGTGGAAGAGACTGGAGGACCAGGTCACACAGAGACTCTGTAACCTACAGGAGGCGCTGGACTTTTTTCAGTTTAGCACAGAGACGGACGATCTACTAGCTTGGCTACAGGACGCTTACCGCCTCGTTTCTAGCGAGGACTTCGGACATGATGAGTATTCAACGCAGTCTCTCCTTAAAAAGCACAGAGGTGTCAGAGAGAGTATCGATAAACACCGCGTACAAGTGGTGGGCCTTCGGAAACACATGGTTGCATTGCCGTTGCATTATCGGGAGCTGGATGAGGTGCGAGCGCGCATGGCTGAGACGGAGCAGCTCTACACAGAGGTGGCGGAAGTTGGCGTGTTGCGGCAGCAGTGGCTGCATGATGCGCTGGCTGTGTATCGCATGTTCAGTGAGGTGAACGCCTGTGAGGTGTGGATCGATGAGAAGGAGCAGTGGCTGAACAGGATGGAGGTTCCCGAGAGACTAGAGGACGTGGAGGTGATCGCACACAGGTAGGAACGTTGACCAGGTGTTGCTTGTCTTCTAAATATTTAGAAATGTCATTGCATTGGAAATCACACAAGTATTGCAAATGAGAGACATTTTTGCAACATAGGCTCATTAGAAAAATGCGCCTTTGGGGTAATTTTTTTGCAAAATATTACATTGCTTCCTGCACGTTTTGTGACACTTTCAAAGTGAAATGCCCAGTGAGTGGCGCTTAAAACCTGTTCAGGTTTATCTGAAACAGATGGCAAGAATCTGGAAGTGTTTTATTACGTTGGTTTTTGTACGTTTCATGGCAGTTTGGAAATTATATGTTTGTTGAGTGGCACTAAAAGGTTAATGCTGTATCACTTTTTAAAATAATGAACCTAAACCCTAAATCTAACCAATAGTGTCAACGAAAGCAAATGTGAGATAAAACATATCTGCTAAGGCTAACATGTTTTTGTGAGCTATTATATCTTGACTAGTGTTTCACGGGATTTGTACCCAAGTGCTTTGCAATTGCAAGCCAGGTGCGCTATCGAGCAAGTTTACTGTGTCAGAAAAGCCATGCATATGGAGCTGGTTATGTGATGCAAACGTAAAATGTGTAAGTTTACAAATCATGCACTATGGTAAAAGTGTTTTGAGGTCAATATATAGTATTGTTATCGTATAGTGTAGTACCATGTGAAAATAAGCCTTTATTAATTGATAATCTGCTGCTGTGATCATAATTAGAGTGAAAAGGCATAAAAGTATTTAGGCAGTAGTGTTTATTTAATCTGGAAATCGCAGTGAATTATACTTTTGTGGAGTTTTGCGGAACAGACACATTTTTCCAATGAGCATTTGTTGCATTTTTGCAATTACCCACAGATGAAGCTGTTTTCATGGACACAAATGCATAACTTGGTTCTAAGTTGAATTGTTAGCTGTGATTTACCGTTGAATACCTTCTTATCTGAGAAGCAAATTTTCTGCATTTTAGGTTTGAGAGCTTGGACCAAGAGATGAACAGCCTGATGGGAAGAATACTAGACGTTAATCAGATCGTCCAGCAGCTCTTAGACAGCGGTCACCCCAGTTCCACTGAAGTCAGGGGCTGTCAAGATCACTTGAACAGCAGGTAACTCCACATCATAAATACAGTTTGTTTTACATATAACTTTATCCAGCATATTTAATGGAAATATATAGCATATTGAATTTAATTGGGTTTAAATGGGTATTACAAGGATAGTTCTCCCAAAAATTAACATTTTGTCATAATTTGCTCACCCTCATGTTGTTTCAAACCTGTGTACAGATAAAAACTCATGAGACAAAAAATATGAGACCAAAACTCAATCAGGGGCATTTTTGCCCCAGTCTTGAATTTTAGGGGTGTATAACTGTATTATACAGGCGACATCAAGAATTGAGTTGTTGCCCTTCATCATGTTCATCACCAGTCAAAAGTATGAAATGAAAAATGACCTACAGTAGGTTTGGGCGAGGTGGGTGCATTAAATGTAATAATAATTTTAACATGTTTTCAATATCTAATTATTTAAATTAACACGTTAAATGGACAGCCCTAATATATATATATATATATATATATATATATACTGTATATGTGTGTGTGTGTGTGTGTGTGTGTGTGTGTGTGTGTGTATATACTACAAATATATTTATACTTATGACTATAAATAAAAAATATATATATTATTACATCATTTGCAGTGCTGCGTGGGATTGTAGTTCATGGATGTTAAGTACTTTGTCTCTTACCTTTGTCCCCCCTAACTTTCATATATTTTTTTGCTTCAATCAAAATTTTAATGCTGTCTGTAATCTTTTTTTAAATATCTATGGAGAAAAAAAAATTAGTAGTAAACATATACCCAACCGTAACCAAGGCTGCTGAAAAGTGGGCGGGCACTATTGTGCTCAAACCAAAAAAAGCATTATTTATTTATTGATTTATTAATGCTTAATGATCTATAAATAGAAAATCATAATTTTCTGTTCAAGTATCTCTGGCCAATTTAGTCTTTTTCTCATATATTGCTAATTTTGTTGCATGTTTTTCCGTCCTCTTATGCCATGTTAGTCTTTCATTACCCTGATATGTAGTTGTTTTCAGTTGATCTAATTTGTGTTTTATTTTGAAATGGTTTCATTCAGAAAACCCTGCACATTCCTGATGCTGCTGTTGTTCATCACTTTAACACATGGCTCTACATGGGTGTATTTAGAAAATGGGCTGCTGCTTTCACAAGCTTTCACTGAAACTGGCAAGCTGTGACGTATGTGTGAAAAACTCCAGTGATCCGTTTTAGACAGACCTTGGCATAAATAACCTCTCTCAGCGTGCTGCCATCTGCTGTGGCTGCCACACACAGGGCGCGCCTGACCCAGCTCAAAACAGAGCACTATGGGTACATTCACAGCTATTATGTTCTTCAATATTTCATGCCACAGTGTATTTATAAGAATGTTTCATTACAGCATACCTTGTTGTTACTCTGTTTGATTTGTGATATTGTGTCTCAGGCCTTGATCTGTGGCCCACCTGTGCGTCCTCAGACTGTTTTTTGTGTGGGTGGATCCTTGATGTGTGTGTGTGTGTGTGTGTGTGTGTGTGTGTGCGTGCATCCATGATTTGGGAATGATTCAGACTGAGTCATGTTTTCTGGAACCGAGTCTTTTTTATTATGCATCATCCAAGCCGTACTCAAGATCGTAACAGAATGATGTGAATATGAACTTAACAATGGGATGTAGTACAAATTTTGCAGTCAACGTTTTTTTAAATTAATACATATAAATAGACCCACCTTTCATTAAATTGTATGACAAAAAATATTTCCTCAACATATTTTGTTGAAACAGGAAGTTGCTCGTTTGTACAACTTTATATTTGCCATTTAAATGTTGGATTAAAAGAAAAAAGATTTATTTATTTAAAATTTTTAGAATCACATTAAGCTTATTAGTGAGAAGGACATTCTCCTTCTAGATCTGTGACTCTTAAAACTTCTGGAATTTTGAAATGTAGTTCTTTTATTTTGACTATAATTATTTTAGTTATCATTTTTTAATTTACAGAAATTATAAGAGCCCATCTATTAAAATAAGGTTTTGAAATATTGTTGAGGACAATGAATGGCCTTGAAGTCAAAAAGGTTGAAAACCACTGTTCTAGAGAGTATTTAATAGGACAAAATTGCATATACATCCCGGAAAACCAGTGTTATTTTATTAGCATCGAGATATTATTATAGCTTTACATTTACTTTTTATTTTATTTTTGTATTTTCCATTTTCATTTTCATTTTAGTTAACATTTTATAATTTCTTTGAGTGTTTTTGTCATTTTTATAATTTTTTTTATATGTCTAGTTTTTAACATTCTTTTAATTATTTTAGTACATGAAGATGAAAATGAGAAATGTTTCTTATTTGATCAAATAAAATACATATTTAATTTTTTTTTCAGATAATGTTTATTTTATTTTAAGTAATGAATTTTGTTCTTTTTTTGTAGTTTATTTATTTATTTGTAGTTTTATTTTTAGCTTTAGTGGACTATAATAACCCTGCTGTGAACAAGATGAGTCATCAATATTTTGGGTCATTTTCCTGGTAGAGAAAAGCTGTACATTTTACATGCACTTATGTATGATAAAAGCTAAGGTTGTCAACTTTTAGAAGTGCACTAGCATATTAATGACCTCAAAGCTAACAGAGATCAAAGCTAATCAGTGTTTAGAGTCATTTTTAATTACACATTTACAACGCAAGACAGGGAACATACCTACTTTACACCAAAAAAAAGCAGCAAAATTTGAAATGGAACTTTAACAAAGATACAAGTGATTAAAGTGTCTTTAAATCTAAAAATCAACCAAATTGCTTTCTTTTTGCACATCACAGGTGGAACCGCATCGTGGAGCTGGTCGAGCAGAAGAAAGATCACCTGGACTCAATCCTGCGCATCCAGAACTACTTACTGGAATGCACGGAGATCAAGTCCCAGATTCAGGACAAGCGGAAAGCCATAGATGCCACGCAGTATGTGGGCAGTGACCTGGGTAGCGTGCTGGCGCTGCAGCGCCGTCTCTCCACCATGGAGGGAGCTCTGGCGGTTCTCGAGCCCAAGCTCCTTCAGCTTCAGGAGGAAGTGGAGGAGCTCGCCACATCCCATCCGGACAAGGCTGTAGACATCCTGGTTCCCTTTGAGGGCATCAGTGTGGAGTGGGAAGAGCTAAAGCGTACATTACAAGGCTGTGAGGACTCTTTAACTGTCGCTGGCCGCTTGCAACAGTTCATCCAAGACTTGGATTCATTCCTCACCTGGTTGGTGCAAACTCAGACAGCTGCTGCTTCAGATGAGCTTCCCAATGCTTTAGAGGATGCGGAACGGCTGATAAACCAACACGCTGCGCTCAAGGAGGAGATCGGAAGGTACGAAGAGGACTATGAGCGTCTCCAGGCTGTGAATGAGCTCTTGGAGACGGATGAAGCGCCGTTGCCTCATGGAGCTCTGCAGCAGTGGCTGCACAAGCTGGATGTGGGCTGGAACAAACTGCTGGAGATGTGGGAGAGCAGGAGGGAAGTGCTGGTGCAAGCTCACATCTTCCATCTCTTCCTGAGGGATGTCAAGCAGGCCGAGGCTTTCCTCAATAACCAGGTGAAGCCCCTCACACCTCTTTGTGTCATTTGCACAGTTCAGATTTGAAAGATATTTCTGAAGACTGCGGTTTCCTAAATGTTATTGCACAGAGGTTGCTCTTTCATAGATGAGGAATCTTAAAGGAGATCTCATTTATGATTTATAACTTAAATTGAGTTATATTTAGAGGGATAGTTCATCCGAAAATCATTTACTCAACCTCATGCATTAAAAGTCAATGTGGTCCAATGTTGTTTGGACCCCAGAGTTCTTCAAAATATCTTCTTTTAGGTTTCACAGAAAAAAGAAAGTTATACAGGTTTTGAATGACATGAGGCTGAGTAAATGATGACAGAATTTTCATTTTGGGTAAACTATTCCTGTAATTACACTACCAGTCAAAAGGTTTTGAATAATTACATTTTTGCGTGTGTGTGTGTGTGTGTGTGTGTGTTTGAAAGAAGTCTTTTTTGCTCATTGAGGCTGCATTTATTTGATCAAAAATACAGTAAAAACAGTAACATTGTGAAATATTATTACAATTTAAAATAACTGTTTTCTATTTGAATATGTTTTCAAATGTAATTTATTTCTGTGAGTCAAAGCTGAATTTCCAGCGTCATTACGCCAGTCTTCAGTGTCACATGGTCCTTCAGAAATCATTCTAATATGTCAGATCCAATATAGTCGCACAGAATCGTCTTTTAGTTTCAGTCTTTTTGAATATCCTGCATCGAATTGTGAAGTGAACAAAGGACCAAGTTCTTACTGACGTGATCTGGAACTTTAAAAAAAAAAAAAAAATGAAGTTCATCCACTCTTTCCTAATGTTGGGATCAGAAGGAAGGCAATGCAAACCCTGTTGATGGAAAACTTGGCACTGCACAGTGTCTTGTTGTCTTCGGAGCATCTTTATTATTTGGTTTACGCGCAGACCTGTGTTTGCCTCTCTCGTTATTTACTTACTATGTGCTCGAATCGGTGGGCGGGGCTAAACAGACGATAAACAGTGCTGTAGAAGTAGGAGTTGATGATCTTCTGCGGAGGCGGGGTTTAGCCACACTATTACATCATAAAGTGGCACATTCCACAACCTGGTGTTTTGGCAGATTAGCTTCAATATAAGCTGATTTTAGACTTATGATTTTAGACTTAAGAAATTATTGTTTAAGCTTTGAATGTAAGCCTATTGAAACGTCTTACTTTTGACTGCAAACTTCGATATCTTGGCCAATCAGAGCACAGTTTGACATATTGTTGAGATCTCTTCTGAAACTGGGGTCAAATGACATTGGTTTCCATGTGCCACATGACTGATCGCAAACATGGCAGGTTCGAATACTGCCGTGTGTTTAGTCCAAACCAGTTCGCCCTCACAAATGAGGAAAACCTGAGTAAAAAGATGAATGCAAATATGAAAAAAGTTAATTTTCCATTTGCAAAAAGTCTCCATTTGCTCTCCTTTAGATCTCATTGCTGTCTAGGAGAAACAATTGAGATATTTAAGACACTTCATGTACGACTTTCCATTCTGTTAGTTAGAGAGCAGACCATTAGGAGACAAAAACTGATCTGACTGATCTTTTTCAGGTCACGTCTGTAAATGTCAGGAGCATCAGGGCATTTTAAGGTCATTGCTTAGTTCATATTCTGAGACATTTGCTGCTTTTATGTTGGGTCATCGTTTCATAAGAATATCTTGTGGCAATAATGCAGTTTAAATGTCAGAGGACATGCATTTCCTCAACCCCGTCTGGGTGTATGTTAGAAGCTGTGTCTTTTCTGGTTTGCTAAAAGCCCAGAGTCGCTTTCTGTTGCCTGCGGGTACAGAATAAGAATCTGCACTGCCATCGAGTGTGAACTGGTTTGCACTAAACACACATGGCAGTGGCATTCATTAGCCACTTTTCCTTAAGTTTGTTTGAGCTTAACTTTTCTAAATGGGAGCATTTACTAAACAGTTGACAATTATTTTATTATTATTTTGTTTCCATCATTTAATACATGTTTGCAAGAAAAATGTATTTGCATCTTTAATCTGTAGTAATTGAGTTAGAAAACATTTGTGGAATCGTCACAGAAGAATATGTGAGCATTGATATTGTTTCTAATGTTTATTATTGCAGTAACACCAACAGCTTACCATTTGCCCTGATAATGGACTTGCTTTTAGTGTAATTGTTCTGGACTCATTTTAGATGCTTTCTGTATGCAGTATTTCACCCTGTCTTTCTCTCCTCTCCTCAGGAGTCAGCGCTGGCCCATGTGGAGCTCCCCACCACAGTGGAGACAGTGGAGGCAGCCATCAAAAAGCACAAGGACTTTACCACCACCATGGAGCTCAACCTCCACCGCATTAAAGCTGTCATAGAGGCGGGAGAGAGCCTCATCAGTCAGAACAACATCTATTCAGACCGCATCAGAGAGAGAGTGGATCTACTCGCTAACAGGTGAAAACCAAAACATAGAGCTGGTTGGTATAGAAGCCCGTTTCTGCCACTGAATAGAAAACAAAAAAGTAATTGTGACATTTTATCTCAAAATTCAAACTTTTTTCTCACAATTGGGAGTTTACATCTCGCAATTTGGACTTTTTTTTTCTCAGAATTGCACGATATAAACTCGTAATTGTGAGAAAAAAATCTGAATTGCGAGATATGACCTAAACTCGCAATTAAATTTTTTTTCTTGCAAATCTGACTTCTTTTCTTAGAATTGTGAGATATAAACTTGCAATTGAACTTTATAATTCGCAATTGCGAGTTTATATCTCAATTCTGAGAGAAGAAGCAATTGCGAGATATAAATTCGCAATTCTGAGAAAAAAAAAGTCAGATTTGCAAGTCATATCTTGCAATTCTTTATTTTTCAGAATTGCAAAATTCTATATTGCAATTCTGACTTTTTTTCTCAGAATTGCGACTTTATTTCTCATAATTGCAAGAAAAAAAAAGTCCGAATTGTGAGATCAAAAGTCACACTTTTTTATTTTTTATTCAGTGATGGAAACGGCTTCCATAGGTTGGTTCTCAGGAAACAGCGTAATTTGTGCCTGAAACTCCAGAATTTTTAGAATTTCATTTTTAAAATGTTATTGCTTTACATAAGAAATCATATTTTTTCATGTCTGATCAGTCCAGGAGCATGTAATATTCAGATTAGTGGTCAACAAATATGTATTTGTAATATTTTTCAAATACAGATTCTTGAACTATTAATCAGTTCTATTATCTATCTTAACTATTATCGGCAATGAATCGCCTGCGATTTTGAACGCGATTTTATGTAGCTTGTCAGTGAACTATGGCTCTGTGTAGTAAATGCTGCTCCATCTGAACGCACGTGCTGGAGATTTACTTCTAATCACAGGAGCGCCTTTACTGACGAGATGCGCATGAAAATCGCATTAAATTTTTTGCACAGCCCTACCCTGATCCCTAAAATATGTTTGCAGCCTTGAAAAGTAACAATAGTTGTTGATTGGTTAAAAGCGCTACATTATTTCAACCACTTCACAGTAAGTTTGAAATCCTATAAGTTACTTATAATTCTAATAGATGACTGAGGAAATTTAGGTGCCTTTTTTTGTGTGCCCTGTTATAAATCACGCATTTTATTTAAAACAAATATATGTTAATATTTCATGAAATTTCTATTTTAAAAGATGTCAACCCTCTTGCGTTTAAGTGTTTTGGGGTTAAAAAGCCCTAATTGAATTGAAAGTGCACTTGTAGTGTACTGACGTGTGACCAGGAAGCTATAAAAGCATGTGAGGTGTGGAGACAGCGGCAGCTTCTGGAGAATGAGGGAAACGCTTGCAGGGATGCCGGAAATAAGGCAGAAGACGCAGCGTCTCGTTCCCTCTGGGAACTATGGTTACATACGTAACCTTGAGACGTTCCCCTTCAGGAACTCGAGCTGCGTCGAGCGCTTTGGGAACGAGATGGCCATGCCGCCAGATTTTCAAGTCCCTGCGTAGTGTGTATGACTTCAGCACAACTTAGGCAAGAGGACAGAGGATCCAGGAGCGGTACAAATGTTGAGGTCATAGAACCTGACGAAGGTGAGCGGCGTAGACCAGCCCGCAGCATTACATATACTGTATCCTGCATAGCCACACCCGACACGAAGGCCTTAGAGGCTGCCACACTTCGGGTGGAGTGAGCCTTGACCCCTAAGGGTGAGGGAAGGCCAGAGGACTCATATGACATAGTAATAGCATCAACAATCCACCTACTGAGGGTTTGCCTAGTGGCAGGAAGACCCCTCTTGGAAGGATCATAACAAACGAATAATTGGTCAAACTTCCTCCACATGGCAGCTCTGTGGACATATGGACATGTAGACACATGAAATGTAGTTTCTGCTGGTCAGGCTCCCTAAAGGGGGGAGGACAGAAAACCTGAAGTACGATGGGCCATGGTACTGAGGAGGGCACATTACGGATGTACCGGCCTGGGGTACAGAAAAGCTTTGGCCAAGCCGGGCGCAAAGTCTAGGAAGGAGGGGGCCACTGACAAGGTCTGCAAATCTCCGACTCTCTTCAGTGAAGTGATGGCTAACAAGAAGACAGTGTCAGAACTCGATCTGAAACCTCCTCAATAGGTTCGAATGAAGGTTTACAGAGAGCCTCCAGGACCACGGCCAGGTCCCATGGTGGAACACGAGGTCGTACGGGAGGCCTCAGCCTCAGTGCACCGCGGAGGAAACGTGTAACCAGGGGGTGTCTTCCCACAGACTGACCACCGAGAGGAGCGTGGTAAGCAGTTAAGCTCGGCCAGAACGGGGCTACTAGTAGCAGACGGACCCCGTCCCGGCGCACTCTCTCCAGAACTCCCTGGAGCAGAACGATCGGGGGAAAAGCGTACAGACTAAGCCTCGGCCAAGTCTGTACCATGGCATCCAGCCCCAGTGGAGCTGGATGAGTCAGAGAGTACCAGAGGGGACATTGCGATGTCTCTTTGAGTCCTGCAAAAGGTATCACGTTGGACTCAGCTGCCATCAGACCCAGCAGTCTTTGAAACTGCCTGTCAGTGAGTGACCAGCTTTCTTTGACTCTCGCGACTGCAGTGAGGATCGACTCGATCCGAGCAGGAAACAGCTGTGCCTGCTTCATCCTATAAGTTACTTATAATTCTAATAGATGACTGAGGAAATTTAGGTGCCTTTTTTGTGTGCCCTGTTATAAATCAAGCATTTTATTTAAAACAAATATATGTTAATATTTCATGAAATTTCTATTTTAAAAGATGTCAACCCTCTTGCGTTTAAGTGTTTTGGGGTTAAAAAGCCCTAATTGAATTGAAAGTGCACTTGTAGTGTACTGACGTGTGACCAGGAAGCTATAAAAGCATGTGAGGTGTGGAGACAGCGGCAGCTTCTGGAGAATGAGGGAAACGCTCGCAGGGATGCCGGAAATATGGCAGGAGACGCAGCGTCTCGTTCCCTCTGGGAATTATGGTTACATACGTAACCTTGAGACGTTCCCCTTCAGGAACTCGAGCTGCATCGAGCGCTTTGGGAACGAGATGGCCATGCTGCCAGATTTTCAAGTCCCTGCGTAGTGTGTATGACTTCAGCACAACTTAGGCAAGAGGACAGAGGATCCAGGAGCGGTACGAATGTCGAGGTCATAGAGCCTGACGAAGGTGAGCGGCGTAGACCAGCCTGCAGCATTACATATACTGTATCCTGCATAGCCACACCCGACACGAAGGCCTTAGAGGCTGCCACACTTCGGGTGGAGTGAGCCTTGACCCCTAAGGGTGAGGGAAGGCCAGAGGACTCATATGACATAGTAATAGCATCAACAATCCACCTACTGAGGGTTTGCTTAGTGGCAGGAAGACCCCTCTTGGAAGGATCATAACAAACGAATAATTGGTCAGACTTCCTCCACATGGCAGCTCTGTGGACATGTGGACATGTAGACACATGAAATGTAGTTTCTGCTGGTCAGGCTCCCTAAAGGGGGGAGGACAGAAAGCCTGAAGTACGATGGGCCATGGTACTGAGGAGGGCACATTACGGATGTACACCGGCCTGGGGTACAGAAAAGTTTTGGCCAAGACGGGCGCAAAGTCTAGGAAGGAGGGGGCCACTGACAAGGCCTGCAAATCTCCGACTCTCTTCAGTGAAGTGATGGCTAACAAGAAGACAGTGTCAGAACTCGATCTGAAACCTCCTCAATAGGTTTGAATGAAGGTTTACAGAGAGCCTCCAGGACCACGGCCAGGTCCCATGGTGGAACACGAGGTCGTACGGGAGGCCTCAGCCTCAGTGCACTGCGGAGGAAACGTGTAACCAGGGGGTGTCTTCCCACAGACTGACCACCGAGAGGGGCGTGGTAAACAGCTATGGGTGCCACATACACCTTCAAGGGGAAAAGCGTACAGACTAAGCCTCAGCCAAGTCTGTACCATGGCATCCAGCCCCAGTGGAGACATAGTATTTCATAAATGATGTAGAAATTGCTTGAAAATGACCTAGCTATTTGTTAAACTGTATTGTGTTCAACTGTCCTTTAATTCTTATTAATAGCAAAACCTCTATTTTGTCATCAAGTAGCATTGGTAATAAAACCGTGTTGCACATTCACTGTAAAAGCAGTGCTGCTGTACTTCTAATACAACCTACCACCTGACAATTTGTGTCTGCCCTCCATTTCATTGTGGCATAGAATGTGCAGCTGCTCCTATAGACACACTGAATTTAAAATGTTTTTTTTCATAGAGGCATAACAAAGAAACTCGCTGAGAATCCACGGTCACTAATCTGAATGCAGTCTCAGTGAGGAGCGTGAAATTGGATTTGTGTATGGAATCTGTTATGGCCCAGCCTACCTTCTGTTTTAAACCGAGACTCCGCTATGAAACACTGTTACTAATAATTAATAAGAGTTTAAACAAAAATAATAAAAGAGTTTCTGATTGTTTCTGTATTTATGTGCATCTCACAGAGGGAACCAGAACCGTGAACATGCTCAGCAGTGGCTTCATAAGCTCAATGACCAGTGGGAGCACCAGAGGTTTCTACAAGACTGCCATGAGGTAGGATGAGTGCCAACTGAGCACAAACAATAAAAACTGTGTCATTCTTTCTTTGTTTTTGTGTGAAGCTTGTGCGAGAGATGATTTGATACATTTTTGAACCAAAAGATGTTTGCCCCTCTGTAAGTAAATCTGTGCGTCAGTTAAGTGTGGACAGCAGTGCGGAATTTTGAAGTAAATGTTTGGACGTAAGCTCACGCTTGTTTCTCCTGTTCTTGGTAACTTGTCTTATAAAAAGCATTTCTTACATGTAGCAAAATTACAATACATTACTCTTACAGAGTATGTAACCAGATGCAATGCGAAAAAGTGATATATGTGTTTAGTCAAGCTAGTCAAGCTGCAGGATATTTTGATGGTCACATGGTTTTAATAACAGTGGCATCATTCTGGTTAATCCTGCCCACAGTGAAAGCTCATTGGTCCAAAATCCTGCTCCATATGATTGTATATTAAACATCCGATATGTTTGATTGACTGTGATCGACACGGCCTTTACGTTTCATTGTGGACAGATTGTTGCAGGAAACTTTGCTGACCCATGTGAAACTGCGCTTAATTGTATTAAATGTGCACTTGTAATCTTAAAAGTATATATTTTTTTAATAAACTTATAGATAATATAATTTAAAGAATTAAAAGACTACTTAAAGGGGTCATATGATGCAATTTCAAGTTTTCCTTTCTCTTTTGAGTGTTACAAGCTGTTCGTGAATAGATAAGATCCCTAAAGTTGCAAAGACTAAAGTCTCAAACCCAAAGAGATATTCTTTATAAAAGTTAAGACTCGTCCACGCCCTCCTAAAACGCCTCGTTTAAGCACGCCCCCACATGTCTACGTCACTGTGTGGGAAGATTTGCATAACACCGCCCAAATGTTCATGCAAAGAAAGAAGGCGTAACTTTGATTCTCGCTGTAGTATTGTTGTTGCCGCCGCCACCATGTCGTGAAGACGCTGTGTGTTTCGTTGCGAAAGCGAAAATACTTTGGCCTTCCAAAAGAGGACACAACTAGAAATCAGTGGTTAAGTTGTATTTACAACACTGTTCCAGAACAGTTCAACCAAATATTCAGCTGTGTGCAGCACATTTTTTGGAGGACTGTTTCCTAAACCTGCAGAGTAGCCTACAGTGCATCTGTGCACAAAGGTTATTTCTATAAAGTGGGGCAATTCCAACTTTGGAAGGACAGTCTGGTGCTTCTGACTCACAGCCTGTAAGTACGTTTTCATATTTAAAGGATTTGCCACTGATGATTCAAACGTGAGTTTTGAGCAGTGTAGAGTAGCGCTTGTTGTTTGTCGTTTCTCCGATCACAAATGCAGACATGGTTTTATGTTTATGCCATGCAATACGTAACTCAATGCGTAAAAAGACAGTATAAGTCATTATAATCAGTAATTATGTTCCCACTGGATGCAACAAATGCCTCTTAAAGGGTTAGTTCACCCAAAAATTAAAATTAGCCCATAAATTACTCACCCTCAAGTCATCCTAGGTGTATATGACTTTCTTCTTTCAGACGAATCCAGTCAGAGTTATATTAAAAATGGTATTTGATCTATTAAGCTGTTTAATGCCACTCAGCGGGTGTTGCATTGCTTCAGTCCAAAAGAAGTTTAATAAAAAGCGCCCATTCATAAAAAAAAGTGTCTTTTCACCCGCTGAGTGCCATTAAACAGCTTGAAAGATCAAAGACAATTTTTTATATAACACTGGATTCGTCATATACACCTAGGATGACTTGAGGGTGAGTAATTTATGGGCTAATTTTAATTTTTGGGTGAACTAAACCTTTAAACCGCATAAATACTTTGCATTACACCAAATACACAAAATAATATTCTTTTTAGAAACATCATATGACCCCCTTTAAGAGAGACACTTTCATGACTGTGTTTATTAACACACTTAAGTACACTTTGTTAAATTAAAAGTTTTACTTTAAAGTACATTTAACATCATTGTTTCAATAATCTTTTGTCACGCTTTAAAGTAATACACTTATTTTGATGTGTTGACTATCATACTAAAGGACATGTAAAATACTTGATTATAATTTTTATTGTAGTGTGTTATTTGATAATACAGTTCAAGTTTATATATTTTAAATGTGCAATATTACAACTTTATAATTATGTATATTGTTAATTGCATGACATACAAGTTTCAACAGAAATGACATTAAAGTTTTTTATATAACACTGGATTCGTCATATACACCTAGGATGACTTGAGGGTGAGTAATTTATGGGCTAATTTTAATTTTTGGGTGAACTAAACCTTTAAACCGCATAAATACTTTGCATTACACCAAATACACAAAATAATATTCTTTTTAGAAACATCATATGACCCCCTTTAAGAGAGACACTTTCATGACTGTGTTTATTAACACACTTAAGTACACTTTGTTAAATTAAAAGTTTTACTTTAAAGTACATTTAACATCATTGTTTCAATAATCTTTTGTCACGCTTTAAAGTAATACACTTATTTTGATGTGTTGACTATCATACTAAAGGACATGTAAAATACTTGATTATAATTTTTATTGTAGTGTGTTATTTGATAATACAGTTCAAGTTTATATATTTTAAATGTGCAATATTACAACTTTATAATTATGTATATTGTTAATTGCATGACATACAAGTTTCAACAGAAATGACATTAAAGTATATTTTAGTTTACCGTTTTATTAATTAAATTAAATTTATATACTTAAGTCCTACTTAAGTGGGACAACTTAATTGCATTTAATAGAAACTTAAACTATAATCCGAAAACATTACATTTAGTTCACGTGTAAGTATATTCTTTTAAAGTATCCACCTTATTTTTCAGCGCGGAAGTAAGCTGTTTTCTGTGAGTGTGCGAGACTTCCGCTTCATTTGACGTGGTAGGGAAATAACGAGTAGAATAACAAAGTGCAATAAACGGGTGCAACAACCCAGTGTGTTTATAATAAGGCAACACATTAAAATAATATGGTAGGAAACACCAGTTTGCAATATCAAGCTGCAAGATGAGCTGTTTTGTACAGCTAAAAATAGCTAGAAGTGGATGACACCGGAAGCCAGACACATTAAATTTGTAGTATAGTAATATTTATTTTATTTTATTTAGAAATAATAATAATACTAATTTAAAGTCATATAAAACAGGTAATTGCAACTTTTCAAAAATCATCTAAAATTTTTTAAAAAGTTACAATTATTTCTCCCACAATTTTTCTCAGAATTCCATGAAATAATATTTAGTCATTTTTATTTTTATTTTTATTTAGTAATGATAATAATATTATTATTACTATTAGCCATATTCATATATTATCAGAACAATAATAATTCTGTATATTACAACATGACAACATTTTGGCCAAATTGTTCAACCCTACAAACAAGCACAGCAAACCTGGATTTTTTTTGATAATCTGGATAATTGCATTTTAAATCACAAATAGATTATTTTTCCCTAAATCATGCAGCCCTAGTGCATAGTGCCTATGTGGCACTTTTTCTCATTTGCTTTCAGTTGTTGTTCCTTTCAGATGTTTCCTGATCTGAAGTATCACATTATTGTCTTAGTTAGTTTTAATGTCTCTCTGGTGTTGGTCGTGGTGTAGTTATCCATCAGTTTACTGGATAATTAATTCCCATGTCCCTGGATCCTGGATGGTCATTCACTCTTCCTTGGATCTATTGCTCCATTCCACCCCAGGGTCATTTTGAGGAATAAATCAAGCTCGCATCAGCTGACTCTCAGCTGATTCCCATCAACCTATGGGAATACAATAGTATAGTAATATTCATTTTATTTTATTTAGAAGTAATAATAATACTAATTTAAAGCCATATAAAACAGGTAATTGCAACTTTTCAAAAATCATCTAAAAAAATTTTTAAAGTTACAATTATTTTTGATTTTTTATCAGAATTGCAAGAAATAATATTTAGTCATTTTTATTTTTATTTAGTAATGATAATAATATTATTATTACTATTAGCCATATTCATATATTATCAGAACAATAATAATTCTGTATATTACAACATGACAACATTTTGGCCAAATTGTTCAACCCTACATACAAGCACAGCAAACCTGGATTTTTTTTGATAATCTGGATAATTGCATTTTAGATTCTTTTTCCCTAAATCATGCAGCCCTAGTGCATAGTGCCTACAGCAGAAGTAGTCAGTAGTATGACTGAATGCAATCAAATACACACCCTATGTGGCACTTTTTCTCATTTGCTTTCAGTTGTTGTTCCTTTCAGATGTTTCCTGATCTGAAGTATCACATTATTGTCTTAGTTAGTTTTAATGTCTCTCTGGTGTTGGTGGTGGTGTAGTTATCCATCAGTTTACTGGATAATTAATTCCCATGTCCCTGGATGGTCATTCACTCTTCCTTGGATCTATTGCTCCATTCCACCCCAGGGTCATTTTGAGGAATAAATCAAGCTCGCATCAGCTGACTCTCAGCTGATTCCCATCAACCTATGGGAATACAACACCTATCTAAGTATTCATATATAAGGTCCCTCAGTATTATCAGCAGTTTTCACATTGCTCAATAGCTAATTACCCTCCTCCATCCCCAGCTCCTCCTCTGTCAGTCAGGATTCAGCCTTCTGATTCTCCTTTGAATCAGACTAATTCTAAAATGTGTACATATCATAATTGAACTTTAACGATATCTGCAATATATTTATGTTGGTTCTGTTCTGTCAACCCTGGGGGGGTTATTGCTGCTCTCCCTGCTCTCGTCCATGCTAGGATGCATGGATGCGCAGGGAGTTCTTGCCCTCAACAGAACCATACCGCCAATCCAAACTGTATGCTAATTGTCAATAATCTTTGACGATAGTGGTCCTGACAGAACTGAGAGCGACAGGTGCCCCATGAGGGCAGAGGTCACTGTAGTGTTTAGTAATCACTAGAGAGAGGTTAAAAAGCACAATTTGTCCTAAAGTTTATGTGATTTTAAAAGTGTCATCTACCAGCTCAGCACACTCTTGAAGCACACTCTTCACTCATTGCTGTGAAAACCCCTTTTGGATCCTTTATTTTTAAGTGTGCAT